TAATTAGTTTCATACGCACCTCGACACCAAAACCCATCACCTTCATAATTAATCTTGCACGTACAGGTTCTATTAAGAATTCCGTCGTATTTACAGTCAGCGTGCGGTGAACATCCTCCGTTGCCTTTGCACATGTTGGTACCTTATTTAAAATAAAATTGAACGAGGTCTGTGGTCCTTCCACAAATAGTAATATATGTCAAAACAACGAGTAACTAGATGACATGGAGAACAGCAGAATTTTCAAAACAATGAAACGACAATGAAACATTCTGATCACTGGATCATGACTGGATGACATGGAGAACAGTAGAATTTTCAAAACAATGGAAAGACAATGGAACATTCTGATCACTGGATCATGACTGGATGGCATGGAGAACAGTGAGATTTTCAAAACAATGAAAAGACAATGGAACATTCTGATCACTTGATCATGACTGGATGGCATGGAGAACAGTGGGATTTTCAAAACAATGAAAAGACAATGGAACATTCTGATCACTGGATCATGACTGGATGGTATGGAAAACAGTGAGATTTTCAAAACAATGAAAAGACAATGGAACATTCTGATCACTGGATCATGACTGGATGGTATGGAGAACAGTGGGATTTTCAAAACAATGAAAAGACAATGGAACATTCTGATCACTGGAACATGACTGGATGGCATGGAGAACAGTAGAATTTTCAAAACAATGAAAAGACAATGGAACATTCTGATCACTGGATCATGACTGGATGGCATGGAGAACAGTGGGATTTTCAAAACAATGAAAAGACAATGGAACATTCTGATCACTGGATCATGACTGGATGGCATGGAGAACAGTGGGATTTTCAAAACAATGAAAAGACGATGGAACATTCTGATCACTGGATCATGACTGGATGGCATGGAGAACAGTGGGATTTTGAAAACAATGAAAAGACATTGGATCATTCTGATCACTGGATCATGACTGGATGGCATGGAGAACAGTGGGATTTTCAAAACAATGAAAAGACAATGGAACATTCTGATCACTGGATCATGACTGGATGGCATGGAGAACAGCAAGATTTTCAAAACAATGAAAAGACAATGGAACATTCTGATCACTGGATCATGACTGGATGACATGGAGAACAGTGAGATTTTCAAAACAATGAAAAGACAATGGAACATTCTGATCACTGGATCATGACTGGATGGCATGGAGAACAGTGTGATTTTCAAACAATGAAAAGACAATGGAACATTCTGATCACTGGATCATGACTGGATGGCATGGAGAACAGTGAGATTTTCAAACAATGAAAAGACAATGGAACATTCTGATCACTGGATCATGACTGGATGGCATGGAGAACAATGGGATTTTCAAAACAATGAAAAGACAATGGAACATTCTGATCACTGGACTGTGATTTGATGGAATTATTATTATTATAAGTTCTCAAAAACAACCCTGCCTTAATTATATGGCAACTTTGCTACAATGGTAATTACTATTTGTCTGCACAAAATACTGACCTGCAACCAGGTTGATAACACCTATGATTCCAAAAATATCTTTGGATTCAGATATAGGAATTTGTCCATGGTTATCTGAAAATTATTTGAAAAGAAGAAAAGATGTGTCACAATTAATGCGGCCCACTTGCAATTTGGCCTGAAGTAATGTTCAAGGAATGGCTGTACAATTTTGAAACTTTTCAGTCAGAGTTAGAATGTATACGCAGTAAAACTAGGTTACACATGCAAATTAAAGCAATATGTTAATTAAATTAATGTGTGAAGCGTGCCATTTATTAATGGTTCTAACAATCCTTGGTTGCAGTGTACATGTTACGTTGAGAATCATTGTCAAAGAATTGACATGAATGATGTCACCTTTACTTTGATTGCAAAAATATCAAATTACAACTGATTATATTTAGATGCAGACAGCCGACAGCAGGCTTTTACCCAGGGTCCTAAAAAAGGGCGTCCAGAAGTAAAGAGGGGGGGGGGGTGTTCGAGAAAGCGTTCCTCTGGAAAACTTTTGAATTTTACGTAACCCAATTAGAACATCAGTTATTTGAATAACTAAATTATATAAGTTCTCGACGATTAAGAGATGCCTGCGGAGGAGGCTATATCTGTTCCAAGCTTGGTCGAAATTTTTCAAACACACTTGGCTTTGTGAGTTTGTGCCGCTATGCTTCTTTACTTAACAATGACATTTTCATTCAGCCAGGTACACCATCAAAGTGATCAAAATATCAAGTGTATAATAATAATGAGAATTGAAGTTTTTTTCGTTTCAGATATATTAATATACTTAGGGAAATAATTGAAAATAATTTCCTTTTTCCTCAGAATTGGGGCGTCCAAAGGCGTCCATTTTTCGTTCCAGGGGCATCCCAGGACACCTAGACGCCCTTCTGGCTAAATGCCTGGCCAACAGAAAATTTTCAACTGCCAACCAATCACATTTTGCAAAATCTTCTTTCTGCAGAAAATTTTCCTGAGTGGAAATGGCCTTTATGTGTGTATGAGAAAAAATTGCATGCTATTGTGCAACCTAATAGGTGATAAAATAAAAGCTGGTGCCTGGTAGTGACAGTTTTAACTTTAAAAAAGGCTTCAAAATTGCACATAGCGAGCTTATAAGCAAGCGACAATTTTGACAACACAAATGCCAACAGGAACTAAATTAAGCCGTTATAGACGCAGCTGTCACCGAGTGATGGCAACAGCTGTTCTTCTTTGATATCACAAACATGAAACTTTCTTGACTGCTTTTTTGTGACTGTCGCCTATAATGGCTCAATTGACTTCCGGTTGGCGGTCTCATTGTCAAAGATGCCATTTGCTTAAGCTTCTCCGATACAATTTCAAATTCCTGCGGTCTGCAGACAAGGCAAATAAAATAATACCATTAAATATTCATGTGTCTGGAACACACTTTAATTAAAACATTCAATATAATATAAAACACAATCAGCTATTTCTGCTTGATAAATGAAACATCCAAAATATTCCACACTAAATTCACAGATCCGTAAGATATTTCTACCTAAACACGTACCAACTTTGTGTACAATACAGAAAACTAAATTCTATTCTACGGATACTAATTATTTAAAAATATCTGATAATCTGAATTCTTTAAATTGCTAAATATTAAACCATCCCACGGAATTACAAACTCCAGTGTTCACGCACAAAATAATAGCAACTACAATATCGATAAAATTAAAACTGAAAATAGGATTCACTTGAAATTCGGACTTTGTTCCTCACCTGCTAGGACAAGCTCTTGGCTGACGCGATCGATTTCAAGCACGTTTACTCCCGTATGTTCCTGCCCTTTGGGCTCTATGTAAAATTTCTCTGCAGATATATGTCTGAAAAATAATATCTGGTTATCAAAACGTTCAAAGTTTAAGAAAAACGCTCTAAAATTATCAAAATACTCACAATCTTAGAATATTGTACACAACTTGGGCGGCCATGATTGAATATCGCGCGAAGATGGAGGAATGGAGCGACTGAATATTAATGAGCAACATGGCCGCAATTTTGGCTGGAAAATATATTTCCCGATTTTGTAAGCATTTTTGAAGACTTTCTAAACTTGTTTTTCACCTGTAAACTTTGCTAAAATGTTGACCTACATGCGAAATGTTTTATTTTGTAGTTTCAGCTACGTTAACGTCAGCTTCGCATGTTAAATTCAATTTTATTTCAATTTCTGCTGCAATGGCAGGTGGTCAAAAATGGCGGATCAGGTGAGTGCACTCAATACATAACTGGAGTGAGAAACAGAAAGCACAGGAAAAAACACTTGCAGTCACAGGAGACCGACTTCGTGCCGGCACCTTTGATGGTAGTGTATAAGCCGCTGAACTGGTACAACCAGCCACCATTTCGCCACAGAAATTATAGAGACCGTACAGAAAGCTTTGATTTTGTAACCATTGCAATGCTGTCACCATGTTCCTAGCCAGTGTTCTTATGAGAGGCATTCACCCCCCCCCCCTGAAAATGTTCAAAATCACAGATGTTCAGGGGGGTGAATGCCTGTCATAAGCACACTGGGTAGGAACATGACAAGTGCATTTTGATGGCAAATCTGTTGCATAAAATCATGTGGCATTGGACAGAGTAAGATAAAGTAGGGCGCATATTTGAAACTCAACGTTTAACGAGACACAAAGGCAGATAGTCTGATTAATTAATTAACCCATTGAGTACCAGCGCTCTCCCCTTGACGATCCCCTAACAAAAAAAGTCTATAGGCCTGGCCTATAGGCCAACCTATAGGTTTCTATAGGAAACCTATAGGTTTTTATAGGCAATTAATTGGAACATTTTCTATAGGTGACCTATAGGGATGCCTATAAGCCTATAGATATCTATAGGTGCCTAAAGGCTTCTATAGGGAATTGGAACATTTCCTATAGGAACCTATAGGCCACCTATAGACTTTTTTTGTCAGGGTCGAGTAAAATTGTCTAGCGTTAGACAGAGTTAAATAATAAAGCAGGGTACATTATGGGTTAAAGTAATGTTATTGAAAGAAATATCAGTATAAATTACCTCTTTCTTAAGCAATGGTTTAGCCGGTGATGGTTTGGCATATGGACCACTTACAGACTTGCCTGACTGGACATTTGTTGGTAAATGAAACATTTAATCATTCACCTTTACAACAATATTGTTAAAAATTATCCTGTACATTTGGAACATCTCAATCTCATTGATTCACAGATGGCGAGTCAGCTCCCGAAAGCAAGAGGCGGAGGAAAAGACAAAATAAAAGATTAAAAGAATCAGTGAGTTGTGCATTGTATGGAGTACAAGTATAAAATCAGTCAAAAAGATCAAAATCACTTTGCACAACTCAGTCCATTTCTTTCAAATTCTCTTTTCAGCAACGTATCATGCAGTATTTGAAACAAGTTGACAAAAATGAACGTTCTGACTCCCAAGACAAGATGTGAGAAAACTAGCAGACCAATATACCCTGGACTGATCTCTTATCGAGTAATTACGTCTACATGATCAAATAAGACAAATGTCAAATTGGCATCCTTAAAGTGGCTCCCTACAGTTGTTTATGCATGGGACTGCATGGTAACAAAGTGATGTGATCTTGTCGAATTGAAATTTTATCACGTCAGCAAACATTCTCGTACCCAGAGCCCTTCTTATGCGTGGTCAACAGAGCGCGACGAGGGGCTCTGGGTACGAGAATGGTCAGCAAAAAATTAATTTGCAATAACTATTTTTCCTTCGGTCAATTTTTCTGAAATTTTGTATTTAATTTTAAATGTACTAGTCATTTATTGCAATGTACACAATTTTTAAAAAATTCTATAAAACAGTAAATATTTTGCATCATTGTGAAGACCTTGTTTTTCGCTGCTGTTAACATTCTTTACAACTGTAGGGAGACACCTTAAAAGATATCATTAAGTACATTACAATTTTTGCTGCAATATATTACTACTGCCAGGACAATACTGTACGAATTAGGTACAAATGAAGAAAATTCCATTGAAGTTGTACAAAAAGTATAATATAATTCAATTGAAAACATTTGCTTATATAGGCTATATGAGAAATGAAATTTATGTGTATGTAGTAATTGCAAAAATTATACTTATATGCAATAAAATTATGGTTGTCATCAATCACAATTTGTGTTTTATTTTTACATTAAATTTTTCCAATTTCATGGAGCAGTGTGTATGTGGTTTACGATTCAACTAGATTATGTACTAAATACATGTATTTTGTGCAAACAATTTACCAGGCCAGCCAATAATATCTTTTGCTTCTGACAGTTCATCAACTTCTCAATTTTGCTAATCTGTGAACAACAAAAATGTAGTGAGTTTAGTCACCATATATTTTCCTGAAAGGACTATTTACTGCTAGACTGCAAACAGTCCCTCCTTAGAAGGAAAGTACTGGGACTGCAGACAACACATCAAGAAACGAAATACACGAGCAGTGGTGGATTTAGGGGGGGCACCCCCCCCCCCAGGCTCTGGTCAACAGGGG